TAATTTTAGAGTAGAGCTCTTTTCCAAAATATTTCATAAATTTATGTATTATTATTGGACTATAATAATCAGAACACATCATTAAAATTACTTCCATATAGATACATATGCTCGATCTTCTAATAATCATACTTAGATTTATATTTAATCTTCTTTTAAACATAAACGTACATAATAGAATTACTTATTAATAGGCTAATCTTTTGAAAAGCAAAAGTATGTAGACTCTGTTTGACTAACGGGGAAGCTGCCCCGGGTCTATTTAGCACTAAGACAAATATCACAAAAATAATTAGAACGAAGATCAGAGAAGGGGACTTATTATGGGGTAACAAATTAAATGTACTATCCAGGGAGAAGGATAACCCATCCGTGTTTGCCAGGTGTCAAAACTATCCTCAACCACTTGCATGAGCGCACATGAGCCGGTCCTGATGCCGCAAATAGCATAAACCAAAAACTTGTTCAGCCGGAGCAACCACCATCCAGCGCCGGTCCTGACTAATTATGGGCCCGGGGCAAAAGACCAAAAATAGGCCCTATAGATGTTAGTGCCGGTGAACGCTTGCAATATATGACCCCCTACAAAAAGCTCGTGATTAAAAAGCGAAAATGCAAAATAGCAATCGGCCAATTGTATGGAAAGATTTAAAGATATAAATAAATTTCGACTTTATATCCTTAATTAAAAACCATTTTCTAAGTAATATACTAGATACAAGTAAACCCAGAGAGAAAAGGATGCTAAAATATGAAAAAGACAGAAGCTATCGGCCATCGGCTTAGTACTACAAGTAAACCCAGAAAGTAATATACTAAATAATTAAAATTATGAATTAAAGTAGTCAATTTACATAATTAGTAAATGCATGTGGGCACTGTGCGACAGTGCTTGTCCTCGTCTGATGGTTGAATCCTTTGAGAGGCCTAGAGAGGATTAGAGGAAATGGCAAAAATTAAGAATTTGAGAATTGAGAATTTAAGATTTGAGAGCAGAGAACAACGAAGGCTGACGGTTGAATCAATTAAGCAAAGCGTGTAGTTGATTATAAGAGACCGAAGAGATTCATATGATTTGTACCAGGGAGGCGGAAAAATTGAGTATCCAACGTTTGGGGACTGAATCCAGAATTGGTTAGGATTGGTATTAATGTTTAGTTTTCGATTTTTGTGAGGGAGTTCGAAAGTCTTCCTCTCGCATGTGAGCCTTGGCTCAATCTAGAACTTCGAAATAGAGATTGATATCTTACCGTATATGACTATACGGAGTACTATTAATTTAGATATTTAGTATTATTAATTTATATATATATATAATAACTACTATAAAATCTATGGGCCCCTTTTTCCTGATGGGCCCTGGCAGCAGCCCAGGCTGCCCCTATACCAGGAAAATTGTGCCAGTAAAATTGAACACAACACTGAGATTCCAAGAGTAAGGATGTTTTTACTTGGACTGTAATTTGCTGGTCTGGTCTGGTCTGGTCTGGTCTGGTCTGATCTGGTCTGGTCTGGTCTGGTCTGGTAAGGTCTGGTTTCTTTGTATTTTTATAACTATCCAAGTCTGGTCTGGTCTGGTCTGGTCTGAACTGGTCTGGTCTGGACTGGTCTGGTCTGGTCTGGTCTGGGGCAAATTACAATCCAAGTAAAAACATCCTAACTGAGATACTGATGTTACATGTCAAATGGGGAACAAAAGTCACATTTTGCAAGCATAAATGATTTCGCAAAACAATCGGACCCCGTTTAGTAATCAGGCCCGTGCCTTATGTAAGGCTGAAGAGGCACAAGCCTCAGGGCCCCAAAATTCTGGGGAAAATAGGGGCCCATTTTTTTGTACATTGCCTATGTATTTTCTAACTCGTCTACCCAACTGCTCAAACCTCCGTTTGCTAATAACGCCTAACAAACCAACCCCGTTTGTAATTCCGTGAGCTTGCGAAGGAGAGAAGCAACTGAAGGATGATCTCGAGCTTTTCCGACTGGCTTCTCCCTCTCGGTTATTGGCTTCACAGGAAATCAGGATTCAGGAATCCTAGCCTCCCAAGCAGGGGCGGAGTCAGGATTTGACTGAGAGGGGGGCCGGGGTGAAATAAAACAAATACTCCGTAATAACATATAAAATATAAATACAATAAATATTACATAATGTATTGATATTCATTTAAAACAATAAAAAATACATTATTAAATGCATTGTGAATTAAAATTTAGAATTCACTCTTACATGTCATAGAATTATGTGGACTCTAAATAAGTTTGTATAATATTTCATTTAATATTTAAATGATAAAACAAATACTAAAGAGGCCTAAAATGAATTTTTCAGAGAATATTAGATTAACTTAAACTCTTTATTTCATATGTCAACTGAAACAATATATACTAACACCTTCTTAAATAATTAAGAATTCCTTTAAATATTAAACATTACTGTGTACGGAGTATTTATTTAGGTAAGTATTCACTAATTCTCGAACAAATTATAAAGTAATAAAACAAGAGGTTTTTACAAGAATATTACTAAAATAAAACTTATTTACATAAATATGACTATTCATTACTATAAAGTAGTGTTGTGGTAACTTAAGTTCAAAAGTTGAACATGAATTACTATGATTTCATTACTACTCTAGTAACTAGTCATATTTTTGTAAACCATCTTTATTTTGATCAATGTAATTATTTTATAAAACAAATCCTATTAAATGAGTGTGGAATTACTTTGCATTTTAAATGATTATTCAAGACCAATATTTTACTTGATATTTATTCAAAAAGAATTCAGATATCAATATTATTAGGAGTTGGGCTCAGCCTTTAAATCCATTTTTTTTCTCTACTCTCTACTCCGTATATTTCCAACTCGGTATACTCCAACTGCATCCAAGTATCCGAAACCTCTTTGGCTGTTAATTTAATATTCTTGAACTGGACCTTAAAATTAAATGATTATATTTAAATGGAATATTGGGATCTAAGTATTGAACTGTCCATATAATTCACCATACATCCTTAATTCCTTATGGTAGATACTTTAGCGATGCACTACTTACGGTTCAGGGAGTACATAATTGAAAGAATAACAGGCTGGCGGAGGGGAGGGGTGGCAAAATTAAATAAAATCCTAATACTACTAGATAAAAAATGAAAAGTTGGGAGGGGCCATGGCCCCCTTTGCTGTGGCTGTAGCTCCGTCCCTGCTCCCAAGTAAGCCGTAAGCACCAACTCCACTAAATAGCTTGTTTTTTACTCCGTATTTTGTATTCCTTCCACTTTATTTGTTGGCTTCTTTACTCTCGAGTTACTTTTAGTCATTTAGTTATTTACTTATTTTTTGTATTTTCTGAAATGTTAATGTGATGATAAGTATTTGTCATGTCTGAATGCCTAATGAATTAATTTGTCAATTTTTAGATGCTAATTCATTTTTGTTTGTTTTTTTATTTAGGTTTATCAATATTGCAATTATGGAATTCTCAATTCACAATTAATCAAATTATATGCTTTGTATTTTGTAGAAAAATTAGTAGTATATATTGTCAAGGTTTCCACTCAATTATTAGTTTTTTAATACATTCAATGTCATTTTGTTATAATGCAAGATTTTTATTTAAGAATTGTTTTTTTGACATATTTAATCATTAAATTTTAATGAATCAATGTGATAAACAAATTCTCTATACTATGTATAGGGCCCATTTTATGAAGCTCGACTCAGGCCCAAGTTTAGGTAGGACCGGCACTGTTAGTAATCAAAATATTTTGACCAATAGGAAGACCCACAGGGCATACCGGAATAGTACATACATCAATCATGCAATCCAGATTACTAGTCATGTGGTTGGATGCAGTGGCGGACCCACTAAGGGTCCCATGGGGTCCCGGGACCCGTGTACCTTCAAAAAAATTACTATATACTATATTCTACCTCCGGTTTTTTTTTAATCTTCACAGTTTGACTTCACACAAAATAAGGAAAGAAATTTGACTTTACTGTAGAGTACACTGTTGAGGCACTGTTTGACACTATTTGGCACTGTTGAGACACGGTTTGACACTGTTTGACACTGTTTTGATGTAGATTTCTTTGCCAAAAAAGGAAATAAGGAAGTGTGAAGTTTATTTTAGACCATCTCAAAAAGGAAAGTGTGAAGTTTATTAAAAACCGGAGGGAGTATATTTTATACTACGTATAAAATTTACTAACGTTTGTATAAATATACCTATAGCTAATGTAAATACCAAAGAACGAATTTGAGGGATGGTAGCAGTGGAGAATTTAAGGCTCCCTTTTTGCCGAGGTACGGGTTTCAATTCCCAAATGCCCCTTTTTTGTTTTTTAAATGTCTTTTTGTAAAAGATCATTGTTTTGAAGTTTAAACTTTACATAATTTAAAATTTTGGATTAATTATTAAATTTGTTTGACTGTTAAGATTAATTATTAAATGTATGATATTTATGAATAGTTTTTTTTTCAATATTTTACGGTTCAGGATGTAAAGTTATTTTGATATTGTATCCGGATTTAAAGAAATCTGGAGCACCGGGAGTAAATCGGATGCTAATTCAAATGATTTGTCATTATTAAATGAAAAAATGGATCAAATAATTGGTAAATGCGAAATTAAGATGACTAATTGTCTACAAGACCAACATGTTGAAACCTAATAAGGTACATTTGTAGAATTGTAGAATGAAATATATACTTCGTATGTAATTTTGTGTGTTATGACTATCTTAATATATTTTGATAATGTACGTTAACTATGAAATATTATGCTACTTTAGAGCCTGTTTGATAATACTCGAATATGCTGTATTGACTGATTCTACTGAAATTTATGAAGTTACACGGCTAAAGTGACTGGATTTGTACTTGATTCTACTTATTTATAAAAAAAATATTTAAAATATATTTTATTAATAAAATAAAGAAAAAATTATAGTATCACCAATACAGCCTATACAACTGAAATATACTATGAAGCGATTGGATTGGCTAAAGTATGAAAGATAGCTCAAATGATTTTATACAGTAATTTCAGTCAATACAGCCAGAAAAGTAACTCTAAGCTTACGTTTTCTTATTATTACACAATTCAATGCGCGAAATCAAAAGTTACATGTTTGGTAAATAAATTGGCTGATAAACCTACTAAACCTAATTAACGGGCTCTTATTAATTAGAGATACATTAGAGTAGGGACCCCGTGATCCTGATTTTCTGGGTGCGCCACTGGTTGGATGCACCACTATCAACAATTCTGCAGAGGGATGACAGCCTGGAATCTTTTCAGAAGTAGAGGGTTTGAAGAGTTTAACAAGGAGGGTCTGCCACCGTTTCGTATTCAAAGATGTCATGTCACGAGCAATAGAAGGATCCGGTGCAGAAGTAGAACCATTGCACGTACTGATTGCCGCAATTTGAGGACTAGAATTGTGGCAACGTTCCAACCAGCTGTCGAGATAACCAATGAGCTGAAAGCACGAAACAACGTTGTGACTGGGGTGATTACAGTGAGAACAGGTAGGTCTGGATTCATGACCATCGCGAACTGGAGCAGAACGGCCCCCTAGAATCTGTTATGAATTCCCCCTATCTCACAAGTTTAATTTTTCATGTACGATTGATAGAATGATGTTAATGATATTTAATGAGTTTTTATGAAAATAATGTTAAATAAAAAAATATCCCAAAGTACTGCCCTGTCGACCCTAGTTAACGTAAACTGCCGTTTCAGTTGGGGACTCTTTCATTAAACAAAAACTCTTGGTGTACACCCTGGGTTACACCCTGGGGTACACCACATAAATACCCCTCCCAATTCTTTTACCCTTCCATTTGCCCATCAAATTGACCTCAGCCCACCAAATTCCTCCGCCTCATCTCAACTCTACAAACCCCCCAAAAGTCTTCTTCTTCACTCTTCACGATTCACGCTTCCCCACAACCGGCAATCCACCTTCTTACATTCGGAATTGTAAATGGTGGCCTATTTACGCAACTTGTTCATCGTCGAAGATGGAGCACTAGAGGTGACGAAGTATGGTGAAGACGATGGTCGTGGACGACAATTGAAGCTCAAGAAGAAGGTTGAAGTTAAAGATCAAGGGTCTGACACTCTGACCTGCGGCCATGGTGCGAACAAGCCTCTTCGTCATGGCCGACTGTAAGTATGAAGTCATGTGTCTTCTTTATTAGGTTTTTGATTGTGTATTGGAGTTGAATATAATGATAACTATGTTTACCTATTCGTTAATTTCAATTTTTGTGTTTAAAAATTAAAAATGGAAGCTAGAACCCTTAATCGGTTGTGTGTGTATGTTTGGAATTGCAGTGTCGGTATAACCTTATGGTTTGAGTAGTAGTTGTCTGTGAGTTATTATGTGACATGTTTGAAATGTCTGTGAGTTGTTAAGTAACATGTGTGATACTGTGATGTTGTCTGTGTGTTTTCATTTAAGATTAGTAGAGTGTATGTGAGTTCCTTATTTGAGTTATATACAAAAGTGGTTATTATTGGAGTTGTTATCTTTGTTCTTTTTATATGTACATGCATTCCCTGTATTTGTGGTTATTGAATTTTGTCTGTGTGTACCGACAGTTAAGCTGTGTGGTATATATATCTTATTGGGTGTGGTGCACCGATAGTATAATTTGAGGTATTTGTTATATTGTTGTGTGAGTTATATACAAAAGTGGGTTATTTTTTTTAGAAAAAATTGGATTTAATAATCCCAACAATGCTCGGTCCGTATTTAAAAATCCCTATTAGCAGTTATTATTGGGTGGTCCTAACTTAAGTGAGCTTTTTCCAGAAATAGTCCCCACCGGCAGGAACCCTTAGCCATCACTTTTTAGCCGGTACAAGTTGCGTGAGAAGCATATGTTTATTATATACTTGTATTAGTTAAAGACGGTATTATTGTAACTTGCATGAATTAAAACGACACCAGTTTTTGTATTTCAATTGTAATTTAGAGCATCAAAATGGTATTATTGTGCATCTAAAGTGTAATTTCTTTTACAGAAATTTGATTGTTCCTATCTTCAATGGGTTGAGGAAAATCCTTCTATGTCTCTTGAAGTGAAGACAAATGATAAGGATAATTTGATTCAGCCTCTTTTGATGGACAAAAAAGATTTAGAAGAGAAGATTGTGAAGCTGGAAAAGAAGAAAGAAAAGATGGGAGCTAAAGTGAAAGAATTGCATATTTTGGCCTCCAAGCACGCAAAGCTAAGGGAGAGAAGCTTGCATTTGTCTGGCTGATTGTTTCATGGATTTTATTTAGTAATATATTGCATCACAAGTGAAATGTATTGCTCTATAAATCTATATGTTGGTGGTTGGATGTAAAACAATCTTTGTTTCAGGACTTCAATTGTCTTTTTAGAATTGATTGGTTACTGCAATGGATTGATGTAATGACTTGAATGGTTATTAAATTGAATGGTTATTGCATTGAATTGATTATTCTTAGTAGGCAGACTACTACTGTTGTACATATTATAAATGTACTGCCTTAGTAATGAATTGATGTCCATAAGGATGTCCAGAAATGAGTGATTATGTTATTGCAGCCCTCTCAAGAATGAAGTTTCTTCACAGCATCCTTATTTTGAGATATCATGTGGGTATTCATAAATGTCATCTTCTGCAATGTTGGCTACGCTGCTATGGGCATATGAGAAAAAGACAAACTGCTTTGAAAGATATATAATGCTTTGGTTGAATACAAATACATATATACTCGTATTATTTACACAAAAGGACAAACAGAGAAGGAGATTTGAGGGCAGGTTTGGGAGATGTAAATGGAATAGATTCATATTTCAGTGTGAGTGACATATTAAACAGATTTTCCAAGTTTTGATTACTTCTTTAGCCCATTAATCTAAGAACCTCTGCTTTGAAAACAAAGCCAAAGAAAACAAAAAGCTTCATCTGCCCAGAATTTCAACACATAACCACACTAGTCATGTTAATAAACCATTGCTAAATTAACAAAACTTCCTGAATTTAAAACACAACATTTGTCATAACAACACCTCTTTTTTAAAGGTAATGACACCTTCTCTTATTCAAACACAGCCTTAAATAAATAAAACCTTCTCTTATTCAAACACAATCATTGACATAATAAAAACTACTCACATTCAAACACAACCATTGACAAAAGTCAAAATAGATACGGAGTACTTCATAATTTCTTACCAACAAACAGCACTCACGTAATGTTCATACAACTAGTTTTGAACTACATAATAGATAAACAACTCATAGATGACTACAAATCAAACCATATTGCCACACAAACACTTACAAAGCAAATACAATCTGTGTACACCTACAAAAACACTATTAATCTGTTCACACCGACACTACTAGTCTGTACAATCACTCGTGAGGCTTTCATTCGTCTGTGCACACCGACATAGGTACACTAGTTGTCGGTACGGTCAGAATGCATAGATCCCAACTATGTGGTGCTTCCCAACTCTGTGGTGCTTCGCACATCTGTTTACAGACCCGTCCCTATTCCATCTTCTTCCAAACCTTGGTTCACAGGCATCGCAGCTATTCTCCTTCATATATGGCAGAATCGTCGTTCGTAGCTCCGTCGTTCGTTTGCACCTCCAAGTTCTTCGTCCGTAACTCCGTCGTCCGTAGCTCCGTCATCCGTAGCTCCGTCATCTGTAGCTCCTTCATCCGTAGCTCCGGCGTCCGTATCTCCGTCATCCATAGCTCTGTCGTCCGTAGCTCCGCCATCCCTGGTTGTGTTGCCCGTCAAAGTTCCATTGAAATTTCAAAAAGAAAATACAGGGTGTGGGGATAGGGAGAAGAGAGAAGAATGCAAAGGGGATTGAGAGTTGATGCACTTGAAGAGAAGGGTAAATAAAACCGTAAAAAAATAGGTATTTATGTGGTGTACCCCAGGGTGTAACCCAGGGTGTACACCAAGACTTTTTGTTCATTAAAACGGAATTGTCGACCGAAGAGAATGAGAGGCTCTAGGAGAACAACAAATCAAATGACACTGTAGGGCCACATTAAAAAAAAACTCTCTGTTTTTGAAATGGTTGTAAGTTTTATATTTAATATCCGATCTTTATAAAAAAAATATAACAAAATTCATAATTTTTTTATTATCTTCCACATGACAACAATAAACATTTATATAAATAAGAAAATAATTTGACACTTTATAGAAAATATACTTTCAAGTGTTTCTAACTTTTTTATTCCTAGTCTATTGTTATAAATAAAAATATCAAAATTCATAATTTTTATTATCTCTCATATGATACTAATATTGCACATATAAAAATAAAACAATAATTTGAAGAAACGACTACTACAAGTAAAAAGTGGTTCTCAACTACACAAATTCTAGCGGAAGGTATAAAAGAACTTTATTGATATCGGAATTGAAAGATACGCTCGTTATCACTATTCACTACGCGATCTGAAAGATAGCGCGTGTCGATATGTGAACTCAATTAAATGTAAATTCACTACCAATTATAGATTTTGAGTTATTAATTTTTTTTACTAATCCCTTTGTTAATATTTGATTATTTTTTCTTCACAAAATTTGTATTAATCTAATAAGATCAAGTATTATTTACTTTTTAAATATGAACTATTAAAATCTATGATATCTAAGGTCTTTGATTGATAGTTTTTAATCATTGGAGTCTTATATTGACACATATTATCTTTCAAGTCCCATATTGATGGTGAACATATCTTTCAATTACGGAATTGTTAAAATTTCTTTATTCTTACTGCTAGGATTTGTGGAGTTGTGGATCACTTTTTACCTCTACTAGTCATATCGTCAAATTATTGTTTTATTTTATATATGCAATATTATTGTTATGTGAAAGATAATAAAAAATTATGAACTTTGATATATATTTCTGATATATATTTTCTAACAATAGGAGTACAAAAAAAGTTCCAACACTAAAAACAGTTTTTTAAAGTGTTATAATATTTTTTATTCTATATATGCAACATTAGTGTCATATTAAAGATAATAAAAAATTATGAATTTTGATATATTTTTTGTAAAAGTCTGATATTAAATAAAAAACTTATAGCTATTTAAAAATTTGAGATATTTTTGTTTTTATTTTGCCCCACAAAGTGTCATTTGATTGGCTAACTTCACATGTCTTCGTTCCTCATTGCAGTTTAATGAAAGAGTCGCCTAGTGAAGTGGCGGATCTGGTTAACCGGGGTTAACTTGAGCAGTAATTTGGGAAATATAGTTAACCTAACCCTAAATTCGTAATTAATTTTCAATTTAGCATTATTTTCAAAAAAAAAAAAAAAACTCACATTTAATCATAAAGTGAAACAATAATATAGTAATGTTATGTTTCAAATATACATTTTTGGTACTCTTAAACCCCGTTTGGTAACATTGATGCGAATTATTTAGGCAGAATAATCTGTGTTTTCATTAATCAAACAACGAGTGTAAATACAACAGCATATGTACTTGGTCCAAGAACTAAAGCCCTACACCTATACAATTCGGCCAAGCCCTATTAAAATACATAAAAATATAAATATAAATCCTAACAACTGAAATTGGTTGAATCAGTCAATTCTGCTAAAATTTATGAAGTTCTGAGTCAAGTGACTGGATTGACTGATTATGTTAAATAATGAAAAAATTAAATAATATTTTATTTATAAAATAATGAAAAAATATATGAAAAATAGCTAAAGTTGTCATCTACGTAACTTCAGTCAATCCAACTAGAAAAAAAAACTTAATCTTACTTATTCTGATTAGTACCTCTGTTTTAAAAATCATTCTAGGGGTCTGACTAGTCCCCGCCCAGGCGCTAGGCGTTGATCGGGCGCCCCGATTTTCGTCTAGGCGCTCCGACTAATTGGTTTGCCGTCTAGGTGAATTGGTTGGTGGCATATGACGTCTAATTGCCCGCCTAGAGCGCCTAATTGGTCGCCTAGGCTGTCTAGATTCGCCAAACATTACTTTACTTTTTAATTTTAATTTTCTAAGCGATATACGTACTTTAGTTTTATCCATGGATATAAAGAAATGAAGTTGTGAATTAAGATAAAACTATATACAATAGTATGTTTCTATATATACCTAAATTTCATCATTATCTATATTTATAACATAATGAAGTTAAGTGATTAATTATCATACACTACGTATGATTGAATGTGATAATTCTATCATTCATGTTTGTTAATATATATGTATATATATATTTTATACACACAAAAACACAATATTACTTATCATATTCAGGCAAAAATATAAATAAAAATGTAATTTCTTTGTCTCCGAGTAGTCCCTGCTCATTGCTTGCTAAGATAGCATTTGTAAATTGTATTATATGAAGACAATCTTCAACATATATGTTTGGTCTAACGATTTGTATGAGTTTCTATTGAAATTTTAAGATACTCTTTTAAGATTTATATATTTGATTATGGGTAACAGACGAGATGTTACGGAGTATTTCTTACCACAATTAGACAAAACACTTATTGTGAACTCAGTACTCCGTATATCAAATATGTCTATGAAACAATCAAGATTTTTCTAAGTTGTACAGTTTTGTTATCCAATAAAAAAAGGGGAAAATATCAATATATTACTAAAACATGTGTAGTTTCTCATAATATGACTTAAAAAGATTATTACCATTTATATGACCAGCAAAGGCTACGGTATGATCTAATGCAGTAGTTACAATTACACGGTTGCATATCATTTATGCACTATTCTAGGGAAAAAAACTACCAAGTCATACATTGGGAAATTACATCCCTTTTAGTCATACATGTGTTAATTTTCTCATAAAAAAACCCTTCAGTTACATGTTGCGAAAAAGCTAATACTTACAAAAAGTTCGAAACAAAAAATACATAAAATATATGAGAAATTAATATTTTAGGGGAAATCCCTCAAATAAACTTCATGAAACTTTAATTGTCAGAGTACGAGTACAACTTTAAAACTCCCTAAATAGAACTAGCTTTCCAATTCTACCCATGTTTTGCGTTAATACAATTCATATTTCATTAATGATTAAAACATAAAAGTAATAACATAAATTTATTTATAATAAAAAAAGAACACAAAAATGAATATTAACTAAAATTAAGAAAATAAAATTTGGAAAAAAATGAATTATAAAATTTAAAAACTAAAAATTAAAATTAAAATAAAACTTAAAAGAAAATATGCAGGCCTCTATTGCCGCCTCAACAACCTCCCAACACCACCAACTTTGGCCATCAGAAAAATACCAACATGTATCCATAATGCCTTCTTGATGTTATGTAGACTTTGAGAAAATTTTGACATTTTCAAAGAGTAAAAATATCATATTCATCACATTTTCAGATAAAAGTGACAGTTTTTAAACAAAATGGTATTTTTTGCCGATCATAGTTGACCATGCAGGGAGGTGGCCGAGGCTGAGGGA